GTAGTTTACCAACTTTTGCAAAAGAATATAAAAAATGTTAACATATTGACTTTGTATCATTTCTAAACCTTATCTCTACAAGAGACTCCATTTGAAATAACAGTGTACTATACTTTATATATTTTTAAAAATTTATTTTAAACTGTATTTAAATCAGTGGAAAGCAAAAAATTCTTATTTAAATTCTTAATTCAAATTCTTAATTTTTATATTTTTCATAAGCTAGGACTATAAAATATGGCACTAAGTTTCTAAATTTTGTCTGTGAAGCAAATGTTATTTAAAAAAATTACAATATTTTTTTTGAACTTTTTTTGAATTTTTTAGGACCTTTAAAAAAAATATTTTTGAAAAATTTAGAACCTTTCCAGAATTTTTCAGAATAAATAAAAAATTTTGGCTTTTTAGAACACTTCTTAAATTCCAAGGCCTTCCAGGACTGTAGGAACCTTGTAAATACAAACTAGGCTTTTATACAGGACACATGTATAGCAATTTTTTCTAGTGAAGCTTGTGACTAAAACTTCCATTAAATAACAGCTTTTTGAATCAAGATTAGAACGATTTATTTATTAGATCCACGATTGTTAAATCCTATTTACACTGAAAGTTGTTATTTTTATCAGTAAGTTTATTTTTCTAATTTGTAATGCTGTTTTTTTTTGCTTTTCCTTTTAACATTATAAATAAATAAAAGTGGGATCTTACTAAGCTCAGGATATGTGGAAAAATTTACAAAAATTAATAAACATCTTCTCCTATGCATTAGGCACCAAAGAATACTTAAAATTGTTCAAAATAAGATTAAAATTTTAAATTTACATTTGTATAGTTAAACATTAAAACCATTTCTTAAAGTTGCACAAAAAATAAATTATTCTTACCTTGGAGTTATATTCGATTTTTCTTTCCTGAACTGTTAGTTAATGATCAATAACCGGGAGTTAACTATCTAATAATGCGGTAATGGTGCAGTGGTAGAGCTCTCACTTTATAAGCGCGAAGTTTCGAGTTTGATCCCCACCATGTCCATGGCAGTGCCATGCTCAACTTGTTTCTCTACGCAGCAACCTTCTTTGTAAAGGTTCGTGTTTTGGAGTTAAAGAGTTGAGAGAGGGTTATAACCACTACTAAGTAGCCTCCTCATCTGTAGTGGCTTTCTTAACCTTGAGGAGGTGAATTAACATAAAAAACAAACAATCTATTAATTTTTTAACAATTTGCGTAGCAAACCTAACTTTTGCGTAACTTTTTTTAACAATCTGCGTAATAATGTGCGTAGTGAGACTTAAGCTTGGTTTCCAATAGTTCTAGAAATGTCGTACAACAGTTGTACAACAATAATGCTTTATAATGAAAACATTTTCTTGCGTAAGTTGCACAACTTAACGTCGGTTGTAGAACAAAATTTATGTTGTAAAACAAAGGTTGTGGAGATAGAATTAAACCTATTTCGGCAACAATTGTTGTACAACAAAAATGCACAGCTGTTGCACAACATTTCTACAACTATTGGAAACCAAGCTTTACATTAAACTCCCTTCTGATACCTAACTCTGAATAAAAATACATTAACTAAAAAATTTTTCATAATCAATTGATAAATAAAAAGTTATTTAAAAAGTTATAATTCAAAACACACAAACAAGAAGTATACCTATATTTTAAAAGCATTATACTAAAATTAACTTTTAACATTTTCAAGATAAAGCAACAAATAGGAAAGAAATAAACAATAGTATTTCAATATTTAACTTTAAAAAATTAAACACACATAGTAAAATTTTTTAATTATTATAAAACTGATGGACAATAATAATAGGATGGGCAATAATAATTATTATTATAAAACTGATGGACAATAATAATAAGCTTTTATGGTACATTAAGATAATTTTGCATCCTTACTATTTAACGTTTTTTTTTTTTTTTTAATTCTATTAATGTGTTTTTCTTATTTAAATAAACTCTACAGGCTGGCTGAAATAAAAAATGAGAAAAAATACAAATAAGAGTTAGAGCTTAAGTAATCCAAATAACAAATATCAAATCATGTAATGTATAGAGGTCTAATTTATATTAAAAACCCAGAATCATAAATAATATTTTTCTGTTTAAAAGTAATTATTTCTTTAGATGCATTCTTGCTTGCCATTAGCTCGGCTGCTATGGCTACCGAACAGCTTTACTTTTAAGTTCGGCAACAATCGAGCGTGTTTGACATGATACTCTTGGCACTCTTTGCAACCGAGGTAATAGCGATAAAGAGTTGCAGCCATAGACGTAGAGTTTTTGTTTTTCCCGGATGGGGCATAAACTATTTTGTTGGAATTGAAAATCTATAATAAGAAGTAAAAAGCTTTTTCAATAGGCATAAAAATGTAACTTATTTTCTTAAGTAAAATATGTTTATGCGTTTGGAGGAGGCACGCATTATGCGTTTGGAGGAGGCACGCATTATGCGTTTGGAGGAGGCACGCATTACAAACTCATCAATCAAATGATCAAGATCAAGAGTAATATCGCGATGGTAATTTAAAATAGTGAGATAATTCAATCGCTCCTGAGACATTGTAGAACGCAAATAAGTCTTTATCCTACGAAGACAAGAAAAAGAGAGCTCACACGTACATGAGGTGACAGACATACATAGTAAAGTCTTTACCAGCTTCAGAAACTCGGAAATCAGTGGAATTAAAAGAGAAAAGATACCATCTATCTCAATAAGCTCATGTAAAGTTGATTCAAAACCATTTAGTTGAATATTCTTGAAATCTGTATGATCCACAAGTAAATCGTAATAGAGTTGTAGCCTTCTATAATCTTCAAAGTCATCTTTGTAAAAAGGCTCAACGAATCCAACTTCCAAGCATTGACCAATGATAAATTTTTCTACATTTGCTAAATGCTCAGTGGTCTCAGTCGGTTCGAAACGAGTCGCAAATCCCGTTATAACACAATTCAGAGATGCATAGAAAAGCTGGCGGTAGTGGTCCTCTGGAATCGTAGAATGGAACTCCACTTCCAGTAAATTTTGATGTAGTTTTACTTTTCCGTGGCATCTCTGGTTTGTTAAGTAAACTACATTCTGCTGCTACAACAGCTGCATCCCATAAGACTTTGAAGCGAGTATCACCCCGGGCTTCATTTAACACCGCCTTAAGCGTGTTTATGGTATTTCTTGCTTTGCAAAAATTAAGCTGCATGCCTAAAATGATTTTCAATGAACGTTTAACATTATAATTTGCTTAAAATAATATATTAAAGTAAAAATTAAATAAAGCAATATTTACCTTGAAGTGCTGTATTAGCATCCTCGATTATCGTGAAGATTATCCGCAAAATTTCCAATTTGAAAAATGTGTCAAACTTACAAAAAGATTCCAGATAACCCGCTGTTTCTGACTTATTTTTGGTTAAATTATCAAAACGATTTTCAAAATTTTCTTACCAGTTGATGATGGCGGAACAGTTATAATAGATATAATGGACGGTTTTCTAAGAATTTATCGAGTGGGACAAAACAGCCGCAATAATGTTCCGTATTCTACATCCTCTACATTTCAAAATTTATTAAAACATGCCAGTCGTTTTCGAAATCCACGGGAAAATGCGATGAATGATTGCACTAAATTCATAATATTCCTTATCTCTGTTTGATTTTCAACAAAAACTTGTGCTACCATTGAGATTATGAGCGCGGCAGTGCACGTAAATTGCATCTTCTTTCTCCCTCATTAAAGTCTGCAATCCATAGATACTTCCAGACATGTTAGACAATCCATCAAAAAATTGGCCCCGACAATTTTGAATCAACAGGCTAAATCGACACATAATGTCCTTCAAACAGTTTAAAAAAGTTGCGCTCTTGATGTTCACGATTTAGTAAAATCCCATAAAAAGCTCCTCAATTTTAAATTTTTCATTAACACGCCAAATGCAGATCGAAATTTGTTCTTTCGCTGACATATCCGTTGTTTCATCGGTCATCAATATAGAATTGTGATTACCTTATACTTTTGCATAACTTACGAAGTGTTGCATGAGCAAAGTCTTTTAGGATTTTGTTTTCAATTTCAGGCGAAAGCTAATTTTGCTTTTCAAAACGATTTAACTATTTCTTTAGTTCCAGGGAATTGTCTGCTTGTAGTTTGAGTAGCATACGAAAGTTTGAATTATTTTCAACCTTTCCACAAATGGCAAGGACTTGCATTCCCTATACATTAAGAACAAACATTTAGTTATCTAGTAAATAAATTTAACGATTGATTGTTCGATGTTGATATCTAAATTTTCTAAACGAAATCGAACAAAAAAGTGTTGTAAATATTTTTGATAATGCCGTACAATTATCCATCATTTCTTTCTTTTGGTGATGATTAAGCTGCTGGATAACGGTTGATTAAGCGCGCTATTGTGGAGTCGCTGCAGCGGTTGAGTCAGTTGCATCATTTGACTAGATAAAAATGATAAACTTTCATGAGTTTTATCTTGAAAGTTATTAGCATTTTGAAATTCAGAAAATAATGCAACTGTTTCAATTTTTTTTTTTTTTTTTTTTTTTTGAAAAGTATTAACTAATCTTTATCATTGTACAAGTTATACAACTATTGCTGTTGAACAATTAAAAAATTTCTTCAAAAATTTAGGTTTTTTTAGTTCAAATAATTTTTAATTGAAAACTTATAAATAATTAATACAAATAATACTGCCAAAGTTATCAAAGAAAAAAATACTAAACGAACGTTTAACTCATACAACTTTTTAGTTTAGGTAGTTCCGTTAATTTGCTTTTTGTTACTAAGGTCTGTTACTAACACTTGAGTGTTAATGTTTAACACTTGAGTGTTAAAGTTTACCAGACCTTAGCTGTTTTTTTCCAAAATCTTACTGTTCTTTGTACTTACAACTGACGTAAACAGCAATGTTTAGACGTCTTCGGAAACATAAAACGGAAATGTAAAACTCTTCTTTACCCAAAGACGTCAGTTGTGACGTCGTAAACACTTATGGAATGCTCGTGTTAAAACTTAGACACATGGTCGTAAAGATAAAGACAACTCTATCATAAAATTTTCTCATAATTTTTTAATATAGTACCTTAGCTGATTTTGTATAATAATTTTTGGCGTAAAATAGTTGTGTTATAAACTTAAAATGGCAATTAACTCATTACACGAATCATATGCAAAAAGCATTGAATTGCCGCAAAGTGAAGTTTTTAGAAACTTAAGTAGTGCAAAAAGATTTGCTATTGATATTGGTAGGTAGAAATTTTTTTATGTAAAAGATTATTAGATATTTGTTTGCGTATACGTCTGTTTGTGTGTTTACATAATTGAATAATTGGGCATAATAAACAAGCCTATCAACCTTTTGTTCATTTTTATCTACTTGTGCCAGGACAATTCATTATAATGTAATCTGATTTTAAAAATTATATAAAATATAGACCTGCTGGTAACATTGTAATCCCAAAATATTTTATTTTGTAAAACTTTTTTGATAGTTAAGTTAGTTTTAACTTTATTGTTACAAGACAATAAAAAGTAATAAAAGCAGAACATTTTTTTTAAGATCATTTTTATCAATTATTAATCAAAGTCTAATGGAAGAAAATAAATGATTGTATAAGTTAAGAGCTAATTAAATACTTAATATTTATTTTGAAACAAAAGATTAAGTACAATTTAAAAAAAGGGAAACATAGGACATTATCAAAATATCAATGATCTTAGTGGCACTATGGCTCAAAACTAATAATTTTCAAATTTTTAACCAGATAGTCAACATTTAAGTGATGTTAAGGCTAAAATTTTTTACAGTTTTTATTTTATTACAGTTTTTATTTCTTAACTTGTATCTCGTCTCTGGCTTCCACTTGTACCTTTTTTCTTACCATATTTTTTAGGTTAATGACCCTTTGTTGATTTTTGTAATACTTATAATTTAAGAGTTGTTTGTTTTTGAATACATATATCTAAAATTTCCAATTATTTTATCTATTATTGTTGTATTTGAGGAGTGAAAATATTCAATTGAACTCATATTAATACACTCTTTTTTTTTGTTATTAATATTAGAAAATCAGTTTTTAACATCGGTGATATTTTCCATTGAAACATTATTTTTTATTCTATTTTTATCACCAAAAGTGATAATTTCTAGTTCTTTAAGCATTTTTTTTTGTTGTTGATAAAAGTTACTGTGAAGTTCTCTATTGAATGCATTCTAAATTCAAGATAGTTCTGACTAGATATGGTGATCGTGCAGGTCTCCGCAGAAAGTGAGAGTCTCAACTTTTGTTCTTGCCCACACTACCCTCAAACGGTTTATGGGAGCAATTTATAGCTCTGTCAAAAGAAGAATAATAGTTGTAACTAAAATAAAAAGTAAAAAGTTATTAAAAAAAAATAATTAATTGCATAATAAACTGCAATGCTTTTTAACAAACACGGTTGTTGCAAAAAAAAAAAAAAAAAAAAAGTGCCGTCTTAAATGTATATATTTTGGAGTAACTGATAAATATAAAATTATTACAATCTAAATTATATTGATAAAATAAAATTATTTTAATAAATTTTTGAAAAATGAAATTATTGCACTCAAAATTGTTGCCTAATAATTTTTATTTAATAGAACAACAAATATAAACAATAACAATAAAATGACAAGAAATGGATAGTGTCATATTTCTACATCCCCTTTCATGTTTTTAATTGTCAATCGAGATAAACATAGTTTTATATTCATTTCTTGAAGTTGTCTAATGCCAAAGATTTACCGGATTCAGGTTGGTAGAATCTTTTTGGTATACATACCCTTGTTGAACGCTTTAAACCTCCTCCAACCTCGGTATTCAATAGGGGTGGCATGATTCTGAGACATATTCTGTGAATTGTGGCAAATTGACAAATTTATCGTGATTAAAGCTGGTTCCTAATGGTTTGCTTAACGCAACTTCGGTTTTGTGTGGTTTAAGTGAGTTCAGAAATTTTCTTAAAAATTTTCTATTTTTTACTGTTAGTCTACCTGTTCCTTCAACTTTAATGACACATTCGTCATTTTTTTTACATTCAACGACTTTCCTACTGCGATCCCATTTTTTAGAGTGGTTCCCGAATGGATTTTGTATGTAAACACTATCTTCGTTGTGTAGTCGTGCAAGGAAACGTGTATGTTCTTGAAGTGATTCTAGGGTCTTTGCATATCTTGTTCGTAATACTTCTTCTTTTGATGACCATGCGTTTCTCTATGTTTTTAGGAATTGGTTGTTATCAAACACAGGGGTTCTGGTTTTTATCCTGGGCATGGCGTCGCAAATAGGATGGCCAAATAACACTTGAGCGGGGGAAAACTGACAAATAGGGTCTGGTGTGTATCTAATTGTGAGCATTGCCCTCATGAAAACGTTATTATTGAGATCACCATTCGGTCACACAATATTTTCCAGGAGGCGTTTTGTTGATTTAACTGCAAGTTCTGTTCCATTAGATTGTGGGTGATGGGCTGACAAAATACGATGAGTTAGACCTCATTGTTGTAGAAACTCTTTTGTTAAATTGTAAATTGAGAACCACCAAATATTTGGACCCCATATTTTATTGCGTTGATGATCTTTTCCTTTGATGCACTGAATGAAGTGTTGATATCATCCGACAAATAGAATTTTTATGGGGGGCTGAGCAGAGCTTTAAATGGGGTCATGACTTCTCAAAGTTGGGCGTAATGTGATACTTAGTTAACTAAACCGAGCCAAGATCTGATGTCAGTTATTGAGGATAGTGTTGGAAATGACCTGATTGTGTCAATATATTTGGGCAGTGGTTCAACACCATTTTCAGATATTCTAAAACCTGCAAAATCTACTACTTTTTGATCAAATTGGAATTTTTGTGAATTTAAAATAATTCCAGCTTTGCCAACAAGCTCAAGAAACTCAATTGTTCATCACCAATGCTTAACTAGTTCATCGTCGTAGTGGAGGGTGTCATCTACACATCTTTGTTTGTAACTATAATCTGCCAAAATTTCATCAAAACGCCTGTTGTAGTCGTCCCCGCTTGAGACAAAACCTTGAGGAGATCGAAGGTATCTGTAGCGTCCAAAAGGTGTGATGAAGGTGGTAAATTTCTACCTTCATTTCGTATTGGGACGCTATGACAACCATTTTATGCATTTGTTACAGTTTTCTATAAATTTCTTGGGACCGAACAAGTTAGTTGGAATGGTGATTTCATTGCATGGGTTCCTCTGTAGCAATATTTGTTTAATGGAGATAGGTCAACAGTAGCACGAGGCCCGCCATCGTGTTTGCGTGTGATGACCATTATGTGGCACCATGTTGTAGGTTCTCCTAGAGGTACCTTTTCAATAACTCCAAGAGATTCATCACAAAGTAAATCTTTCTCCACCTGGTCTTGCCAATGGATTGGTATGGTGGCTGGAGCGAATGCTGCTACTGGTTTGACATTTTCTTGAATTAAAATACTAATTGGTGGCTCCTCCATGTCAGGTAGTATCTGGTGTGGGCATGTGTTGAATGTTGAGGCAGAGTATCTTTCAAGAAGCCAAGTTTTCATTCGGACTTATATAATCCATTACATCAATTCATCTGGACTTATATAAACCATTACTGCACATTCGGCTTAGTTGCCATTAGGTTGTTGTCCTTCAAAACGCAAAAATTGCACCTTTAATACGAAATTAAGTTTTATTGGCAGCAGACATGCTATATTTCACATGTATTAAATTTTTTGATTTAAAACCTGTACTATCAAACCCTTTCCTGGACCATAAGCAAGACTGTGCTTATGGTCCAGGAAACACCAGTATTTGTAATGACTTGTAGATATTTTAGTATAATGGGAGGAAATGGGATACCAAATGCATCGTAGTCTGATTTCTTGGTAGTCATGCATAGCTGAATTTAAGGGTGAACAAGCAGTTGAGTGTGGCCCATCCATTGTGGGTAAATATTTGATGGTTTATTTCTGTGGAGTGTCGCTTCACATTGGGCATCATTTGAGATTTTGTTTTAATTTTATTTGAATGCTTTATTGTGCTCAACATTAACAAGAGTCCGCTGGCATCTTTAGATGCATTCAGCATCTTTAGATGCATTCAGTTTCATATCATTTAGATGATTCTGTTGTTGATTTTAGAATTCTGAGATCTAAATTTTTTCCAACAGTCTAGACACAGCTTGTGAGGTTTTGTGTTCCATCCTCTAGATGACTCGGTAAATAAACTATAAGATTTTGAACAATCTGGGCATTTAGCTGTAACATTGGTCTCTTTGCTACCATGTGTATTGCCCTTGTTTTGTTTCCTGAAAGATGATACGCTTGCCGTTGTTGAACTACAGCCTAGTGCATTCTGTGCAATTTCCTTACCCTCGATAAAAGCAATATCTGTTATTAAGGCTGTGTCAAGGGAGGCCCGTCCAATTACATCTTTGATCTCAATGTCTGATATTCCAGCAACAATAATGTCTCGTATGGTAGCATGGGTAAAGTTAACGGTTGTTTGTGGGTGGCAGTGGCATTGTACAGTGTAGTTACAAGTAGCTGCCTTGCCCTTTTTTTTTTGCATAGAATGACCAAATATTTTCATTGTGTCCCTGTCTCATAAGTAAATACAAAGAAAAACATCATATATGAATTGAAAACTAATGTACCTGCTAGAGATAAGTTGTTGTGATACCAGGGTAGTAGTTGTTAAATATTATTATTTCATGACAGCTTTTAGCAAATGCTGGTACATCATGGATTTAAAAAATCAAATTGAGATATAAACAAATCAAAAAAATCAAGTTTAGATAAACAAAATGTATTTATGGCAAAATGATGTCTTGAATGACTTTTAGTAAATATACATAAAAGTAGTGAGTTCCAGTAATAAAACAACCTATTAATCATTTTAATAATAGACACCAACATAAAGATAAGCCAAAGGTAACAACATTACTCAAAAAATTATAAAAAGATGTTATGTATTTTCAGAATAGTTATATTGAAGGCTAGACAACACTAAGACCTAAAGTAACAGTAACACCGCTTGACTGGTAAGGTTGACAAATATTGCTCTACGAGTTTGCCAAGTCACACCACTTTGAAATCATGGAATCAACATTATATAAACATATATACTTACTATAAAACACAATATATTTTTTTAATGTTATATAACATATAAAACACCTCATTTAACAATCATATACACATTAGATAAAATACATTTTATACTATTATAAAAACACAT